AGTCCACACCCGGCTGGAAGTTTCCAGAGGGGTCTCACATTCACATTCAGTTCATTCAGAAACATTCAGTTTCTAATAAACAATAGACCTTGTGTCCACAGGATGCCACAGAAGCTGACAGTATGAACTTCCCCTGGTTCAAAAGTTGCTAGAGAAAAGTATGGAGGCTCGGTCCTGAGGGGGCTATCCTGTGCCACATCCTGGATACCACTGCAAGAGGACATGCTTTCATCCCGTGAGAGCTAAAAGCAAGGAGAGTGTTTCACAGACAACACGACAGGCGTTAAACTTCATTTTACCTGTTTCATAAAGGATTGTCTATGACTCTGTGAGAGTCAGCATGTTGGTCTGGATGGACTTTTCATCATTGAATCACTGAACATGCTGAGTTGGAAGGCATCCAAAAGAATAAACGAAGCCCAACTCCTGGCCCTGCCCAGGATGGTCCCAAGAATCACACCATGTGCCTGAGAGCATTGTCCAAATGCTTCTTGAACTCTGTCAGACAAGTGCTGCGAGCACTTTCCTGGGGAGCTTGTTCCAGTGCACAACCACTCTGTGGATGAAGAACCTTTTCCTAATATCCAGCCTGAACCTTCCCTGACACAGCTTCAAGCCATTCATAAATCTGAATTATATGTGGCATTTGGAATTTCTTCCAGTATAAAAAATTCAGCAGGTCATTTTTGTCAAACCCAGTGTTTTGTATTTTAAATGTTGTATTATAATTTGTAAGGTAATTTTTTTCATTAATAAAAGTATTTTATGTCTAAAATTACTGAAAAGAAAACTAACTCACACATATAAATTAAAGTTATTTTCTTGCCAGAACACATTTTGCTGAACTGATAACTGGGAAGTTATGATTTTAATAAAATATTCAAGGCAAATACATTCCATTAAAAAAAAAAAAAGTCTGGACACATCCAGTGATGTAGTTTTAATTGCCAGCTTTATTCTTAGACAATTTCTAAAGTGCTCAGAGGCCTAAGTCAAAAGCCAGTGAGTATCCTTACAAAAACTGATTTATTTCAAATGTGCAAAAGGGCTGTTAGTCTGAGCTGAAGAGCACCAAAACAAGGAAAATACAGCTGCACAGCATATGGCAGGGAACCTGAAACCCAGTTTCGGAAATGCAGGTCCACAAACCGGTGTCACCAAAGGTGCTGGCAGGGCCCATCCTGTCAATGTGTGCACCAAGAGGGCAGGCTCTGGATGGAGGTCTCAGGGACAGTGAGTCCCTGGGAGGGCAGCCCCATCTCCTCTCAATCTGCCCAGCACTGATGGTTCACGGGGGGCACGTGAGGAGAACGTGCCAGAAGAGTGAAAGCAGGAGAGTCATTCCTTGTGTTCCCATTCAGCTAAAAATTGAAGCATCTCCAGCCACCTCACTGTACTGTCAAGGAGACGAGTATTTATATCATGGCACAGATGGCCTTGCTCATTAGTACAGTCTGCAAATGACTGCACTCAGGATGTACCTGTCAGGAGCTTCCAGCCTCTGTCTGGTCAGGAAATGGTGGGGGGACACCAAACTGCCCTACAAGCACTGCTGGGTTATCAGCTCCCCCACATGCCAGCACCTTCACCTCAGTGGATGGGCTTGACATGGACTTCAGAACACTCCATCACACCAGTTCAGACTCAGCCCTCTGAATTTAATTTCTTATCCCATATGTGACTCCACTAACGTTCACGGAACTTCTGTGAAGTACAGTTGTATTAACCATGTGTGAAGCCATAAGGTATCAATCCCAAATGGTTAATTGTCATAATAAATTGATTTTTTATTACTGCAATAAATAATTTCTCCCATAGAGAGGTATAGAATGAGTTTCCTTAGAGAGGTTAAACAGCAAACATCGTGACCTTGTTATTTTGGGACAATATCCAAAATTTGGAAAATCTGGCTGGATGCTAGTGAAGGTCTCTGGTTAAACACACACACACAAAAAAAAAAAATTAGAGTGAAATGTGAAAAACAACAAAATGTTTGTATAAGAAGTAGAGCAACAGGGCCCTTCAACATGTGGGTAGTACCATGCCATAAGAAAAAACCCAATAACAAGCATTTATCTGCATGGGAAAACAAGAAACATGATGTTGGAAATCACATTTAAAACTAGGTGTCCATGGTCTTCAGGTAGAGATTTTTTTTTTTTTAAAATTTTTTTTTTTTTTTGTGGTCCCTAGAACAAATGGGATACTGTAAACGCTCTGGGCTCCAAGGAACAGCTGGTAACACACCAATCTAACAAAACTTTGCTGAGATATTAATGCATGAGGGTGTGCTTCTGCAAAGATGCATATACAGCTCTGCAGGAAGTGCTACCTATCACCCAGACCTCACAAGCCTTATATCAGAAATTTAGGACAGTGTTATTTATTCCAATGATTCAAATACCAGTAAATTGAAACACATAAATGAGCCTTTAAATAAACCAGACAAGCATTAAATACCCTGAAATCCAGGACAGGTGTTTTTTTTGATTTTGCTTCTAGGCATTTAGTTAAGGAACAATCATTATTTATGACTTACTTTCATCTGAACACAGAGCTGGTGTCGGGATTAAATGAAAACTATTTTCTTATTCTGTCTTTCTCACTGCCAGTCTAAAAAAAATATGTTTTATGCATTTAAATGAAAATAAACATTTTCTGAAGAGAGGCTGGAACATCCACTGCTCACTGCAAAGCCTTTGAATCTTTTTATTTTTTTTAATGCAATAAGACACCTGAACAGCTTCAACACTGCAGCAGAGTTGTCTAGGTCACATTCCTACAGCTGCCATTTAAGATAACCAAGCCTGAAAATTGTCAGTTATTGCAGAGTCAGATTTATTTTTTTTAGAAAAGATAAATATCTCTAAGTGGGATGTGATTATGAACTGAATAGAGGTATGTGGCAGAGAAATAGGGAAATGTCTATCAGTTATTGTCAACTTTTAAGCAGAGTCATGCTTACAGCCACTGATCTACCTGCCTAACATTCAACTTCCAAACAAGTTGGCAAATTGAAAAGAATTCCAACATGAGCTAAATGAGTGACATGAGCTATGGGAAAATAATGCAGCATGCAGTTCCCAAGGCTCAGTCTACTTTTTTTATCCATAAAGGACTTGAGCATGACATAAACTGTATTGCTATGTCCCTCCTCTCAAAATCTATGTAAGCAAGTCAACCACAGCCTATGAATCTGTGTAATTAAAAAAAAGGGGGGAATATCTAGCAAAACACATCATATGCTGAGCTTATTTTTAACTGTTCACGTGCAAAAAAAATTAAATGCTTATCAAATGGGTGAGACTGAAGAAAATACCTCTTCAGATAAACTGATACTCTAAAATTAATTCCCATGCCTGCAGCACAACAGCTCCCCTGCACCTCACCATCACCCTTTTGCCTCATCTTACTCTTCAAGATAAACTTTTTCTCCTAAATGCTGGCAGGCAAAGGATTTCCTTTCCTGTCATCCCCTTCCACCTGCTTCTCTGGTGCTAGTACTGCCTAATCTAAAATCCTGCCTCCAGCAAGCCCTACTCATGCCACTTTCCTCAGAGTAAGCCACAAGCATATGAAAAATTTGTGTGTTTAACTTAAATAGGGAAAAAGGTTTTGAAAGCCTCCTTCCCCCACCTAAATCTCCTTCCTCTTCAGAGTGATTTGCAGCAGATTCATGAAGAGCAGAAGACACTCAAAGGGCTCCGACTCTGCCCTGGGGAAGGGAAGGTTTCTGAGAGGGATAGGTGTGTTCTGCATTAAACATCATGAAACCAGACTCTTTCAAAGGAGAAACAAGTGTGTCATAAGGTAGCTCAGACCCAACACCTCCACACCTTTCACACCTCGTTTCCTTCTTGCAATAAAAGGCCAGGATGGCACTGAGGACAGATTCTTAAACTCTCTTTTGGTTTTAGGAAGGTTGAATTACATCAACTAATACAAAATGAAAAGCAACAGTTTGTTTCTCATTTCCAGAGGAAAATGCACTAGACATACACTTTTTGATGCTAAAGTATAGTGCCAAAAAGGAGCTGGAAATATTGCTGCTGTAAGAAGTAACTATATTTTGAATCATCTTAGAATCATAAAACCATAGAATTGAGTGGGCTGGAAGGGACCTTAAAGATCATCAAGTTCCATTTAGGGCAGCATTATTTCCCAGGCACCAAGACTTTCAAGCCTTTAAGCAAGTTTTAATGTTAGCATTAAGTACAAATACTTCGGTGCATAAATCCTGGAACCCTACCTCACACCAAAAAACTTTTCTGTAATTCAAGGATAGGCATTGAGACAAATTCCATCCAACCACTGGAGAACTCCACATGGAAGACATGTTCTCAGCTTACTCAGCTGAATGCACTGAACTCAACCTAGGGCTCACTGGTTAAGATAGGTCTCTCCTAAAACACTGGGGAAAGAGACAGTGTAGGAGGACAAGTGCCTATTTTAATGACTGGAACACAATAAAACTGGCCTAAGTGGTACTTGGTACCACTTAAAGCTCTGGTTTTCTTGAGTGCAGGGTGAGAGGTAAGACGAAACCCATAGGAAAGCAGCATTCCAAAACAGGGAAATAAGATGTAGTAAGGCAGCAATGAAAAACCTGCAGTGAGAATCTTTCAGAATAAATACTTCAAGCTAGTCCCTAGAAAATGGCTTAAAAACTATTCTTATCATAATATAGCTGGTGTGAAATTAAGGATTAGGTACAGGTATTTTGTAAAATTGCTTACCCTTCTATTCAAGCTATACTATTCAACACCACCATGCAAAATTTTCTGAATGGAAATGTCACAATTTGCTACAACTTCACAAGCAAAGCTTATAAATAATCTAGGAAAATATTCACTTGGCTGGGGAATATCACTTAGCCCCTGTTTGCAAGGCATGAGTGGGCTTTCCAGAGTACACAGGACTTGAGCTGCTTTTCTCTGAGCAAAAAATCTTCTCCCATGACACACATATAAGCACACCCACTTCCAAATTAATATTCTTACCTTATCTTTACTTTCAGAATCAGAATCCTCAAGTTTGGTCCGAATGACAAAGGGTGTAGATAACCTCAGGAGAACTCGTTCAAATGTGGCACTGATTTTAGGAGAGACTATGTCAAAGCAGTCTTGGAATTTCAGGGTTTTATGAGTGTCACATCTGAGCTGCTTCCTAAGACCTTCTCCAAGCTGGAGAACCAGCATGTTTGGATCAAACATCAGGTGAAAGGGGAAAGCTCTGCAGAAGGTGCTGATACTAATCCTCAGGTCTAAGGGGGACTGGGAAGTTCCTGGTGGAAGTGCTTTTGTGGTATTTGCATTTTCATGTTCTTTGATAAGGAAAGTCAAACAACTGCAGTTACCTGGGTTTGTCCCCTCTGAACACAACTTATCATTTGTGACCTGTTCTACTTCTACTTCCAAGCGGTAAATCTTCTTTGCTGCTGCTTTTATCATTCCTGTCATTGCAAATCCCACAATCTGGTGTGGGTGAAAATAATGAAGCATGAGATTGCCTTCAGGGAGTTCTTTGCATAGGAAAGAAGGAGATTCCAGGGTGGCCTGTCTTCCAAATGAAGTTCTAATATGCTCCAGCAAAGCATCAAAGCCATTGAAGAAGTCTTGAAGGGTTCCACCTACAGCTCGAAGAACTCTTTCATTCTCGTCAAAGCAGATATTGAAGAATTCCTCCCCAAACTTTTCTTGCATTTCCTCAAACTTCAGACCTATAGGACAATGAGACACTGATATCAACAACATAGTATTGTTACTGTGTCACATTTTCCCTTTTTCCTCTATTTGCCCAGTATTTTTCCAAATTAGTGAGAACAGTTTTTTCACTAGATACCTATCCAGAGATCTCTGTGGTGGTTGGGAACAACCCTAGAAGCTATTTTTTTAAGTCCTCATTCTTTCAGCTTGATTTCCCAATATTCTCTTACCTGTCCCAGCCAGTTATTAGCGGGCCTGTTTCCTTTTCCCCACTGCAGCCAGTCTCCATTACAATTTCCCAGACCTTTGCATGTCACATCCAGGACACTGTGTAAATGCACCTTGGCATGGCTGCATCCCTTCCTCTGCTGACCTGGCTACAAATGATGCTTCCACTCTAACAGCCCCTCTGTTCATTCCCTCTGTAAAGCACCCAGCTCTGCCCAGCTGCTTAAAGAGTAAGACGGGACTCTAAGTCAGTTGTTTGGCTTCCCATCCACAATGTAAAGCCCTGCAGTCAGATTACACTTTTAATAGCTGGCAAATGGGGATTGTGAGCATTGAAGGGGTCTTTTAGCCAAAATACTTTTCTCATTATAGTCATTGGACACTGCTACAAGATACAAAGAAACAATTACTTATTTTTTGTTGCTTGCAAAGGAGAGCAAAACCTTTTTATTACAAGCTTTTACCTACAGTCATCCATCTTTAATAAAACCCTGCCTCTTAAAAGCAGCTCATCTACTGACCATCTACTAGCTGCCTCTACACAGCTAGTAGATGGGACAGCTCTGCAATATCTCACAATGTCACTTCAAGTTTCTATCAAAAAAATTCAAAAGGTTTTGACTGACAGAGGTGATAAGGCTAGCATTGCTGAAAGGATGAAAAAAATACTAGTACTGGAAATTTTTATCAAATCCTGTTTCAGTTTGTTATTTACAGTTTTAAGGATAACCTACAAAAAAATAATTTTGAGATGGTTACCAAGCATGTTCCTCCGTCTTATTTTAAGGAAGATACACTCTATTAAGTTTCAACTCTACTATGATATAATCCTCATATCATAGAAAAGTTATAAAATTAATCAGATGTTTGTATTGTTTTAAGATGTAACAGAATAAAAATAAGTATTAGTCAGCTCTATGTGACTTATAAATATCCAGAGTTTTCAAAAGAAATTAATACAGGAATTAACAGCATAGTTTCTTCACTACATTGAATTAACTGAATATACGATTGAAATCACATAGAATTACATGTCAGTCGACTAGTCAAATACCTTGAAATTTATCTTGAATTTGACCAGAAATGAAGGTCAGTTATTTCTTTCCTGAGGACACAACAGGCCCTTTTTTTTAATGTGTATTCAGCATGCTTTATAATATTGGTAATATCCCAGCAGATCACTGAATCTCTCACTGTTTAGACTGCTTCTAAGCTTTTCATTTGGGAAGAACAGACTGGTTAGTGAATTTTGTACCCGAGATATAACAGGGGACAGAAGTCATGTTGTTTGCAGACAATAACCTTTAATTATCTCAAGGCAGTATCTGAACTGCCTATGTATACAGGCATAGTTAACACAATCAGTATTCACAAGGGATTTCAGTGTTCCCCAGCTTTACAGTCTGCAATGACATATGATTCATAGCAAATTAAAATGCATAAATTATATATATAAATATGACAAAGCATATTTTATAAAAGAAGTAATAGCAATAATTTGGGAAAGTTCATTCAAATGCCATTACTCATAAAGAAATTTGGTCACTAAACTAGGTTATTACAAAAATATTCCCAGGATCTTTTATGACCACAGATGGTCAGCTCTGCGGCTAAGCCAAAAGAAAGTACCTCTGGTACACAATGCCACAATATCCTGACTCAGAAGACTGTGTGCCAATTCCTGACTCATTACCATTACATCTGCGTAACATGGTATTGTAGTATCTTACCAAAAAATACTCACTATAATCCAAAAAGAATTAAATTCTAACCCATACCAATAATGTCATAACTGGATATTAATATCAAAGAGCTAAGAAATCGTCATATTCATATGTATGCACAAACGAGATATGCACAACAAAGATATTCATTTTTTAAATCTCATTGTCCTGTATAGTGAAGTGTGAGCAACCTTCAGAAGTCTGTGTGTAAAAGTAAGCAGTCTAGCAGGGGCACCCGAGGCTGTAAGATTGCAGAAAAGAACAGGACAGCGTCAGAAACCCATGGGATATTCATACAGATACATCCCACAAAGCCACCCAAAAGACGGCACAGGTAAACTGCCTTTCAAGTGAATTATACAGATACAGAGAAGCAGCTGCCCTGGCACCACTGCCTGCAAATGAGGTTTGCAGAAGTGATCACTTCAGGACCCTGCTGCTATGTATGTGAGCCTCACCTCATTATCATTACTGGGAACTCTCTCAGTATCTGGCCTGAGGTTTTGCTGATTGTCTTAGACTGGTCTTGTTGTCCACGCTGGAGAACTGGCCACTCACTCTGGATGCAACAAACTGACCGCAAGCAACATGAATTATACCATGAAATTCAGGTAAATGACCTGGCTCGAGGACGTGCCACTGCTTTTAAAAACATTTGAGCTTTGAATTGAGTTACATAGACTACCAGCAGAAAATCAGATCAACTCTAATAGAAAAATGGATGTGACCAAACAACCAAACTGCTGGTCTGTGTTAGTCATGAATTTTCTCTACAATAACAGACATTGTGATATACTAAGAAAATTAAAATCAGTCAAGCAACCTTCAAAACCAAAAATCATAATGTTCCTATCAAGGAAGTTTCTTCCTTAGCCTTACCAACAAGACATTAATTTTTCTATGATGCATGATGTCTATCTTTAAATTAAAAATATTTATTTAATAATTTCCCATTACACAAACACAGACTAAATTTTTCTGTATTTCTTTGCAAAGCTATTGGCTTCAGTGATGTCTTTGTGCAAAATTGCACAAAATATTCTATATGTATTTTTACTGAATTATTCCTGCCTCTCTTATTGAAACAAATGATGAACAGATGCTCACCTAGAACTAATTCTGTATGTACTTCAGTATAACCTTTTCACTTGCTACTACATAAATTATCCTAATCTTTTTCATATCTTCTGTGGATTTTCTCCCTGCCCATATTCCTACACATAGCTGTTGTGGTTTAAGCTGAGCTGGCAAGTAAACACCATACAGTCACTTGCTCAGCCCTCTACCATGGCAAAATGGGGAGAAGAATCAAAAGTAAAACTTGTAGGTTGAGATTAGAACAGTTTAATAATTTAAACAAAAGGAAAATATAATAATAGTAATAATAATAATAGTAAATAGTAATAATGATGATAAGAGACAAAGAAAAAAAACCCCACACGCTAAGACAAGTGATGCCCAATGCAATTGCTCACCACCACTGACAGTCCCTGTCCTGGTCCAGGTCACTCCCCCAGTTTATATACTGGGCATGAAATTCTAATGCTGTGGAATGTCCCACTGGCTTATCTGGGTCTCAGCTGGGCTCCTTCCCAGCTTTCTTGTGCCCCTCCTCATTGACAGAGTGAGGGACACAAAAAAAGTCCTTGGCTTAGGATTAACACTACTTAGCAACAACCAAAACATCAGTGCGTTATCAACATTATTCTCATACTCAATCCAAAACACAGCAGTGTACCAGCTACTGAGGAGAAATTAACTCTATCCCAGATAAATTCAGGATGATACCAGACTGGGAGATAGTTTTATTACAGGTAAAAAATCTTCATGCTAAAAGAAAAGAATTCCAGAACTCTCTATGGGGCATATTTTATTACATTAGGAGACTTCCATGGGCTAGTTGTTATCTTTAAAAATTACATTCATTATGATTTCCAGTTTCAATATATGGTACTTCCTGTTTTTTCTTTTATACTGAGAATAGACAAAATCAAAATAATCTTTTTATAATCTTCAGATTATGCATCTACATAAAAAGTCCACTCTTTTCAAACTCATCTCATGTTCAATTGTTGAATAATTGTACAATTGTTTTTCTGTTTGATTTTGCAATGGAATAATTCAAATTGAATATGGCATTGAAAACATGAGTCAACTTCTGTTCATCGAAACTGACAATCTGCTATTCCATTCTGAAAAGGCAGCATTTCCATTCTTCCTTTTTCACTGTGGAACTCTAAGCAAAATTTTCATTCAGATTCCAAGAAAAAGAAATAATATTTGAGACCTGTATGAGGGCTCAGCATTTCCAAACGCAGAGGCCACTGCACTCCCTTATCACCTCATGTATGGCCCCAACACGGCTTCCTAATGAGCCCTGCCTTGCAATTAATACAGAGGAAAACTTCTTCCTTGGTTCACCGGGACATTCCACTAAGTGGTAATAATACAAAAGAAACCAAAAATCATCCCAACACTCTCTGCTGCTCCCCAACTGAAGTAACTTGTTATTTTGAACATCTGCTTTTTTTACAAACCTTCTACTAATATAGTAAATGAAGCTCTAAAAATTCATTACTCTCAATTTGTTTTCCTTCTGGAGAGGGATCTACTGTGTTCCTACGACTTAATCTATATAGGGAAAACAAATCACATCTTAACTTCAATGTTTTTTTCATAGTAGTTTCTTTTTGTTGCTTTTCCTTACAATGTCACTTTTATTCTAGTCCATATTGGAGAGGAACTAAATATGCACATTGAAATTTGAGGCAAAGCAACCACAAAATGAAAATATTGCTATAGACCTCCACTAAAAAGCACTTTTGGATCTGTGAAAAATTATTATTCTTTGAAAATGTGTCTCAAAGACATTAAGAGAAGGGATCCTGTATTTGCTAGCACGATCCAAAATTACCAAAGTCTTTAAGCACAGGTTCAAAGTACAAATTAAGCATTTCACTGAACTGGAGCAGAAATAGATGACTTCATCCTGTAATAACATGCTAGCAAAAGGTCTTCACTTTCTTTTCAGCAGTTAATGTCAACTGAAAACACACTACAAA